AAGGCAATCAAGGGCGTCGTCGATTCGTGGCAGCGGATATACGTCTTTGCGGGTTATCTTGTTCAAGGCACGGTAGTCAACGCAAAATCTCCAGCTGCCATCCTTCTTTTTCACTAAAACAACAGGTGACGCCCATGGACTTGAAGAGGCCTCTATGACTCCTTTGGAGAGCATTTTCTCGACTTCTCGTTGTATGACCTGGCGTTCGGACTGGGAAACACGATACGGTCGCCGTCTAACAGGATTAGCATCGCCGGTATGTATTTGATGACGCACGAAGGACGTTTGCCCTAAAGGGCGGTCATCGAAGTCGAAAATATCTCGGTAGGTAGTCAGAACGTGGTGAAGTTGCGCCAACTGACAGGGCAGAAGATCAGGGGCGATCATCATCGTGATTTCGTCGCTAGGTGCGTTTGCTCGGCTGGCTGCAGTAGGGGACGAACAGTCTTCAGGGTCCAATGCCACGATGCTACATGCATCAAGTGGGGAAACGTGGGCTAACGAAATGCCTTGCGGGAGAACTTGGGTCGAACTACTGAAGTTAAGGAGCGGAAGCTGAACGTAGTTGTCCACAATAGTCACGATTGTATGCGGCACAGCAACACTTCGAGCCAAGAGCACATCCACCAATGGAGACACTATGTAGTCACCGTCAGGAAGAGCTGGTGATATCGTTAAGGCAACACACGTGGTGGCTTGCGGTGACAGCCGAACATAATCAACAGCGCACAAGCGGTGTGACGGTGAGGACGGCACAGGTCCATGTCGAGGCAGTTCAAGTTGAAGAACGCCGGTTGCACAGTCGATGAGAGCAGCATGGGTGGACAAGAAATCTAAACCAAGAATTAGGTCATTTGGGCACTGCTCAATAACTGCAAAGAGAACAGATGTGGGGTGATCGGCGATAGTGATGCGTGCTGTGCACATTCCTGTGATGGCAAGACTTCTTCCGTCGGCGACACGAATAACGCCAGGGGCAGCCGGTGTGAGCACTTTCTTCAGGCGGCGACGAAGTCGGGCACTCATCACAGAAATATGCGCCCCAGTGTCAACAAGTGCAGAAACAGTCAGGCCGTCAACGTCGACGTCGATCAAATTTCGTCGTGTCGGCAGTACAAGGAGAGGATTTGAGGTCGGTACCGAGGATGCAGCTTCACCTCCAAGAGCTGCACCGCTTAGTTTCCCTGGTGAGAATTGAGCGGGGAGGTCGGGCGTCGTCGTAGAGGAGAAGGGGACGACGGGCGACGTCCTGGCGGCGAACGAGACTGGTGACGTCGAGGCGACGGTGAGCGGCTGTGCTGCGTATCAGGGGCATCGCAGGCGTAGGAATCGACGGGCAGAGGCCGGCGGTAGTTGTCGGCGATCGGCTCAGGAGGTTGGAAACGACGGTAGCTATCGGTGCGGCGAGCAGTGTTATACTGGTTTCGGGACGAAGACCAATGGTTGTGGCAATACCGTGCGACGTGACCTATGCGGCGGCAGTTAAAGCAGATCGGCCGATCATCCGCAGTTCTCCATTCGGCCGGATTGCGAGAGCGTGGATAAGACCTTTCTTGGGGTGGTGACCTGGGGCGAGGCGGCGACCTTGAACGGAAGCCAATTGGTCGAGACTGAGCAACGGCGCAGACATCGAAGCCCAAATTGCTCAGTTCTTCCCGCACAATCGACTGTACCAAGCAAACCTGAGGTACTTGCAAATCGACGTGGCCGTTGGCGGGAAGAGTAGGTGTAATTGCTTCGATTTCCCGCCGGACAATTCGCGTAATTTCAGACGCTGGTGAAGACTGCCGATGGGAGGACAGTCCATCTTCGCAGGAGGACGTCGCTGCGGTGTTCGGCAGTCGAGTAAATGATCTTGAAATCCGCCTGCTTTTGGCCAGTTCAAAACGCCGGCATTCCTCAATAATTTCGTCGACGGTCGCACAGTTCCGGCACATTAGCAGGTTGAACGCGTCGTCCGCTATGCCCTTGAGGACGTGGCCAACCTTGTCAGACTCCGACATGTCGTTGTCAACTTTACGACATAGAGCCAGCACGTCCTGTATATATGAGATATACGGCTCTGTGGACGTCTGAGCACGTATAGACAACTCCTTCTTTGCAGCCGCCTTTCGACCGATGGGCTTCCCAAATAAGTCGCGAAGCTTTTCCTTGAAGGTGTCCCAACTGCCGATCTCCTCCTCATGGTTCTCGTACCAGACTTTGGCCGTGCCTTTCAGGTAAAACAGCACATTGGCCAGCATAAGAGTCGGATCATACCGGTTGAGAGCACTGGTGCGTTCGTAGTCGGCTATCCAGTCGTCGACATCAACTTGGTCCGTACCGCAGAACGTTCCAGGATGCTTCGGATGCGTCAGCACGTACGTGGGTGGGGGTGGGGCCAGTGGAGGCGTTGCCGTGGATGGTGCGGGCGTCGCCGAAGCCGATGGAGAGGTGGCCGTGGGATCAGTCCCGTGTTCCATCACGGAAACTCCGATTTGACGACCACTGCGGAGCTCCGTTGTATGGCGCTTCGTTACCCAGCACCTCCACCAATTTGTTACGGAGCTCGCAAACACACGGAAGAGAGGAATGAGCGTATTTCCTATATTTACATGCCAAAGTGACGCTTCAGAGCTGCCAGTCTCTCGCGCGCCTCGTAATAATATTCTTGAGATTTATTATTTTTTGAAAATCTGTTGTTTCAAGCACGGCTTTGCAAGGTTAGCACTAGTAATTAAATGTGATGACATGGTCCTGCTAATGTGCCATACTTGTAGTGAATTAGCTTATAAAGGAAAAATAAAAGTAAATTTGTACGAACCTGGCAAGCAGAAAAATGAGGTAAGTTCACTGCTGTTTTACAATTTTTCTGATTACCTTAAGACAATTTTCTCTTCATAGAAACCCAGAGAAAGGCTTGCTACTTGAATATTAAAAATTTCAGAGGTCCAGCTTGGATAGTTTTGTCACTTCGTCTGTAATGCCTGAACATCTGGAGCCGTAAATTACTAAATTCAAGTAGTAATAATTTATGAACTATTCATCAAAATGCATAACAACTTGCAGATATACCTTGTATCCAAAAAACCCATTCAATATCACTGTTATACACAAAACACAAAAAAAGTTATTCACTCATAACCTTGCATTGTTTTGCGCAATTTTATTGGAGCCTGCAGCGCTTATTGTTTTACTGGCTATATTTTTCATAGAAACCTTATTTAATGTTTCATTAAAAGGCTCAGCAAAATTCATTGGGTTATGTTGAACAGTTTTGCTGCACCGCTATTACAATGATGGCTTGTACAGCAAAAACAGTGGTTCTTGCTTGCGTTGTTTTCATTGCTATGCAATGCTGCTCCAGACTAGGAGACAATACTAGCTGTCATTAGAAAGTGGAGAATGTTAGCTTTTTAATGCAATACAATTCACAATCAATACGGTGAGCGCAGTAAGCGTAGTGCATTAACAAACAACGACTGAAATGCGGGATATGCCGCCGTAGTGAGACTGCCCCCCTTAATGGCAGACTTCGGCAATTTGTTCAGGTATATATAGATCTCAATATTTACTAGGTATGGCTTGTTTCACAGTTTTGCTAATTCTGCAAAATTATAGGGTTGAGAAGGGTGGAGATCGCTTTTATATAAATTTTATTGGTTGCCTCGAGCCACCCACTTGGCTTCCCACAATTACTGGCCACACTGTGTTTGACGTCAGCCTGGGCACAGCTATGGACGTGGTGAAAGTGCGAATACAGGTGTTTGGGGTTGCAGTGCACTTACTGCTGCATTGAGAAGGCAAGAATCGTGATTGTTTGGTCACCACTCACCTTGCTGTTGTCCTTGACATTAAAAATATATAAAGCCTGTTCATTCAGAATTACTGCGCTGAGGAAAATTTACACAAGAAATAAAACAATACATTTTTATTTTATGGTATTGCCTGATGTGTCTCTCTGCTGTTAGATGGCACTTTCTGTCTAGGCTGCTCAAGTTTGTGGCTATGATAGCCAGGTAAACACTAACACCAAGAAGCTTGAGGACAAATTGAAACCCTCTTCTGTTGTCATAGGAGGAAATCGTAAGTTTGTGTGCAGCGTGTGCAGTTTGTGTGCGTTTGACGCTGTGGCAGTAGAATCGATTAAAATAAATGCATGCTAAGTACGAGCAACCTTTCACCCAGTGCTCACCTTACCATATAAACAAACAGACTTGGTGTACATTATCAAAAATAATACCTATGGTGGTTCTTTTCAACTGGAAATAATGCAAAAATGGTGCGGTGGGCTCATGTTGCTGCTGAACTGAACATTATTTGCTCTTCAGGGCTTACGTGGCTTTTATTCTCAACTTCTGTGCTTCCCAGGTCAACATGTCTTCACGAATTCTACTTTGTGCCTTTTAATGTGCAAAATGACAGTAATGCTCGGTTGGGTTTCGTTTTTTATCTTTTTACTTATTTAATGTTATTTTAGATTTTGTTGAGCACTTCTGCTATAATACATAACTGAAGTGTTGCATGAACATGAAATCTCCATTATCTAGACATGGCGAAAAAAATCGCCAGAGTTGGCCTTTAATGAGGGCATGCACCTGTGCATGTCATTGTGGCCATGCCAGCTTGCCAGTGTGCGTCACCAAGTTTCACAGCTTGTTCCTTTCAAGTAAATTTAAATCAACATTATGGCCCCAAACATTGAGCAGTTGTTGAAGACTTAACTTTGACTTGGTCATAAAGACAGATGAATATGCTTGAAAACAAGTGGTTGTGTCATGCGCTGCAAATGCTTACTACACCTTCTTAGTGTGTTTTCATGTGGTCGATTCTCCTTTTTTGACCTTTCACTGTGTCCCAGTTGTAGTGGCACTGTTGAAGCGTTCTCCACATGGTCCTGTTTTTTTGTGCCACTCCTTGTTGCATGTGTCACTGGTGGTGGTCTGTGTGTGCACTGCTTCTGTGTTGTGACTACCCCTGTGCCGTCCTTCCCTCGGTCGTTGCCATGGCGGTGTTGGCAGTCTGTCTTCGGGCTGCTGTCTACCCAGAATATTTGCCGGGAGGCCAGCCCCCAACTACCCGGTGTTGCCCACAGCGCTAGAGGACGAGGAGTACAGAATGACGCACCCCAAGCGAGGCAAGTGTGTCATCTTCAACAACAGGGTGAGTGGGCATTTGGTGAGCCTAAGTTTGAAAAAGTGCGCTTATGTGTTTACTTAGGGACACTCTAATCCTTGGCCGAGTGTTATGTCAGTACAGAGAAAACAAAAGTTAAGTAATATTGAAACGCCCCGCCGCGGTGGTCTAGTGGCTAAGGTACTCGGCTGCTGACCCGCAGGTCGCGGGTTCGATTCCCGGCTGCGGCGGCTGCATTTCCGATGGAGGCGGAAATGTTGTAGGCCCGTGTGCTCAGATTTGGGCGCACGTTAAAGAACCCCAGGTGGTCGAAATTTCCGGAGCCCTCCACTACGGCGTCTCTCATAATCATATGGTGGTTTTGGGACGTTAAACCCCACAAATCAAGTAATATTGAAACTCAATAATATTAAAAAAAAACTGTGGAACATCATCATTACATAAAAAGTCTAGTTGATGCTGCGCACCAGCTGATGAAAGTCCACTGAAAACAAATAATACAAAGATATTTTTGGCAGATCTTTTTGCATTTCGATCTTGTGCAGAAAAAAAAAGAATACCAAGGTGTATCACTGCTAGCTGCATATGGCAGAATAAAGTAGTCACTGTTTGGTTGTTTCATGAATATGCTTTACCTGTAGGTTGCAGGTATTTATCCTAGTCAACTCTAACTTGGTTTAGAAGCGGTATTGGTAAGAGCATTTCTGTCTAGTATGTTTTATGTGCTTCTGAAGCATGCAGATTACAAGCTTACATCAGTGCCATTTTGCCTGTTCTATAGCTTCCACAAAGTAACTTTTTGTGAAAGGGAAATTATTTTGTATATTTCTGCTCATTTTAAATAGCAAACTTCCCATGAATAAAGAAGTTGCATCCTCTTTGCAGAGGAAAAAGAAACTGTTTGCAGACATTGCTCTTTAAAGCTCTCACGTGCATTTGTGCTCTGCCCTTCTCCACAGTTCTTCGCACCCCATACGAAGCTGAGTGAACGAAGGGGCACTGACTTGGATGCTGATAATCTTTACTATCGCTTCTGTGGGCTGGGCTTTGAGTCAGTCATCCACCATAACTTTTCACGCAAGGAGATGCTTGAAGAATTGGAAAGATGTAAGTTTCTTCACTAACCTGGATTTTTCTTCAGTGAACTATTGTATGCCATGGGCATCGGCAGAGGGGGGGTACAATAGGGGCTTATGCCCCCCTCAAGCCACATCAGCGCTCCCCCTATTCTCCCAGCTGCTATGCAACACAGGTTTGCGCCCCCAAAGCGAAACCCTGCCTATGCCCACAGTGGCTGCTAGGCTGTCCAAATGAAGGAAAGCATTTTTTAGTTCTGTTTCAATGATTTTGGATCCCTGGACAATTTGCATGACACCTTTTGTCTCTTGGTAGAGGTTATGTCAGTCGAAAAGTGTACATAACTGTACTCTTTGTTAGTGATTTGTTCAAATGACAAAGGTGAAATATTTTTTGCAGGTGTATTTCATTTTTTCAATTGACAACTTACTCAAGAAAGGGAATCAGTTGAGGGGACTGTTTTTTGTTAGATGCAGCCATGTGAAGCCAACTGTTGTGGAGTTAAGGTGGGCTTGGAAAATGTTAGTATTTGTAGTTATTGATTGAAGGATGCAAATTCTAAGATAAAGGAAAACTATTTAAAGCAGACGAAGAAACAACTTTCCTTCTCTGAGATATGCATTATAGTTGCATTGTGATTAGGCAGCTTGAGGTGTGCTCATGTGTTGCCTTTTAGTGAGGACTTTTTTCAAAGAAGTGGATTGGTGAAGCTGCCACTTGGTTTCTCTAAAAAAATGTAAGATTGTGTAGCTTTCCTGCCAAGTGAGTGAATATAGAGATTATTATAAGCTGTGAGCTGAAAGAAACTTGCTGTGCAAACTTGGCAGGCATCCTGTGTCCTCGTTCCGTAGCACTGCGAAGTTATTCCTTGTTTTACAAACTTGTCCAAGCTTCCGTGCTTCTGTGGCAGATTTTTCTCAGTTTAGTGATCTTTATGTCGTGAGATTAGTAGTTATCGGCAGTTGTAACAATAATAGGACAGGGAATTATGTAGTACTTGTTCTAGAATTCAAGTGGAGCATGATGGAAACGATAAGGCAGCATCTTGCAATGCGATCAGCAGTAGCTGCTGGCACTAAGAGCACAGGTGTAGCACTGCTGCATTGTGGCATGACTGTAATAAGAGCTTGGACAGAGCAAAGTGCCTTATTAGGGACATCATAGATGAACAGCAAAAACTTAATAATTCAAACTCAATTATTTTAGAGTCCTGCCCAACTTGAAGAATTTCGCCCCGCCAGGGTGTTCTAGTGGTCAAGATACTCGGCTGCTGACCCGCAGGTCGTGGGATCAAATCCCGGCTGTGGCGGCTGCATTTCCGATGGAGGCGGAGATGTTGTAGGCCCGTGTACTCAGATTTGGGTGCACGTTAAAGATCCCCAGGTGGTCAAAATTTCTGGAGCCCTCCACTACGGCATCTCTCATAATCATATGGTGGTTTTGGGACGTTAAACCCCACAAATCAATCAATCAACTTGAAGAATTTCTGCATATTTTCAAATTACAACTTGACTGGATAATTCAAAGTAGTGGCCTGTGCTAGCCTGGTTAAATAGAACTTTTTGGATGCTGTACGGCAATTCCTTATACTGGTTTAGACCAAGGAACACAATGGGCTTATGGAGTCGCCAGCCTATGCCTCATAGGTGTGTTGATGACTGATGGGTAAAGCACTCAAGCACTGTTGCTGGCAGCACACACACACGTATATGCAACTGCCACACAGTGCTTACGTGCAGGTAGCATGTCGTATCTTTCTCGCAGCATCAGCACAGAAAGATTTTGCCATTTGCCCATTGTTTTAGGAAAAGGAGGACAGTCTAATGGAAGTCGTGCTGTATGCTGACTGCTGATCTGTATTATTGCTAACAAAATAAAACGAGCTGTTGAAATTTCAATTTGTTTCCTTCATTAGCAGCTTGAGTAACCTGTGCGCTGAAACTGCTGACGAAGTGCTTGCCTGCCACACCTGCTCCCTAAGCTTGAAAACTCTGAGGATATCATTTCTGCTAGTGAGCATACATAGTGAATCTCATCGAATCTGCCTTCATTACTTTTCCTCCTTTTTCCTACGTGAATGACCGAAGAATAGCAGTATCACGATAACATAACTTTAAACCAACTAAACAGCATCAAGGTGCACTGACACAGTGAGAAAAGTGTTGCTCGGCTAATGTGCAACTGCTGTGTTTTGCAGGGCTGGCCGTGTTCTTTTTAGACACACATATCTGCTGTCTGTGTGGTGCTTAATCGCTTATTTAAAAAATAATTTTTTTTTACTGGCAGCAACAATGTCGGAATGGTTGACTCACTGGTCTGAATACTGCAATGATTATGAGATATCAACAGTGGAAGGCTCGGAAAATTTAGCCATCTGGTGGGCTTCAATGGACAAAGAAATCTAACTACACAGGCCTCTAGCATTTTGCCTCCCTTAAAATGCAGCCATCGTGGCTGAGATTCGATTCCACAATTTTCGGGTCAGCTGTCAAGCACAATAACTACAGATTACTGGGGTCGTTCAGAAGTTTGCAGTGAAATCAGGATAAGATAATGCTGTAAAACATGATCTGTGGAGCTGCAAGTTGCTGGACTAGGCAAAGCACTATCTTTAATTACTTTTAGTAATTTAAAGTTCTCTAAATATTTCTGCACCAAACTTGTTACCTGTACCATCCTGCCCTGTAGCACTTGAATTTAGCCGCAACGTGCAATAGCCATCAAGCCCTGTGTCTGAAGACACGGTTGAAACACTGTGTTTTCCCATTTATCGAAACGGTTATAGTTTTAGTTTCGTCAAGTTTGTGATCTGTGATCGATCGAGCAGCAGCTGTGAACTTTGATTCTAAGGGCACGGTTGTGAATGCTTGGCTGTGCACTACTTTGGCAGGCATCAGTACGAATGGCTCATAAATCCTTCTACGTGCTGGATTTTCTCAATGCGAGGAATGTGCGGAAAGAATATCTCCCCATGGCGCGGCTGCATTCGTTACACCAGATTATTGTAGTGTTACGCGATATTGGATCCAAAAGAATTGGCTGCCAGCCTTACGTTGTATAACATTACAATTTCTTGCTATATCAGTCATTGCTTTGCCATTGTGGTAATATTGTGATTTTTTTTAAGCTATACGGCAGCATTCAGAAAAAAAAAGGATGACCGTGATTTGGCTCAAAAGAAAGGGGGTGCTGTCCAGTTCTCGTAATATCCTAGCAAATACAGGTGTACGAGACTGCTTATTGAGTGCACACACGCATTCCTCGTTGATATTGCAGCTGTTCTCCATTATACGATGCTTATTGACTTGGCGGTTGATGCTCACATTTCTGGTTAATAAAAATAGATGGCTGTTTATAGCTAAAAAAGTTAGTTTCATCGCAAGAGTGAAGCAGTGAACACAATTGGAAGAAGACCCTCTCCCAAGCAAAGTAGAGCAAACAAAAATATACAAGCTTCAAGTTTAGAGAGGGAAACTGGCAACCTGTCCGATAATGCGTGAATTATGGGCGACCAGGAGTTCCAACGTTCAGACAAAGCGTGCCGTCTCTAATGGTTGATGCGCAGTGTTTTGAGTGCTACGCTTTTGAAAAGCCTCTGGCTGCCCCAATCGCCTCCGGGTGCGGTGCCTTCTTCAAACCAAATTCTTCAGAATCGCAGTTTTTTTTTCCTTCAACGCCGCAGGCGGTCTTCCGCGAAGAGAGCGATAACGAACCAAGGCGGCCATGGAGAGAGACAGATTGTTAGGCCTGGCCCAGCTCAGGGCCTACAGCAGTGGTACATGAATGGAACCACTAAAAGGCACTCCGCTGTCCCCATAAAACTGAAGGGCGGGCACGGTGCTTCACCGCTGCAGTTACCGTAGACAAGAGAAGCTGTCACCTGATCCTGGTGTTTACGTGGTGGGCCTGTGAGGACTGATGACAAAATTCTTCCAGGAACTCCGCTTTTAAATGCACGTTCTTTTCCCCGGGGCTTCCTTTTGCCGAAGCGTGGGTTGAAGAAATGGACGTCAACATCTTGGGAGGCCCGGCGTTGAGTTCTCGTTTGCGGGGACGTCACAGAAAAAGACCAGGGGCGCCCAATTGGAATTAGCTGTTGTGTGTACCAACATGTTTGAGTTACCGGGACATTTCTCCCCATAGGACCCAGGGCTGTGCCAGGACAGGGTGCGTACAGGTCCTTGAAAACGATGAAAATCTTTGAATTTGAAACATACATTTTCAAGGCCCCTGAAAGTACTGGAATTTTTCTCATCCTTGAATTTACTAAGCACTCCCAATCGACATTGTGGCCTTCTTTATGTGGTAGATGGGCATACCTGCCAAGTCTCGCTGACTTCGACCAGTTCTTACGCTTGTACGGCTATCAGGCAAATCTCCCTGAAATTAAAATTTCTGTGCGTGATCTGGCCACATTAACAAAAATGCAGCCAGATGCAATCCAAGCTTTTTGTGAACCCATCACATTTTATTGTCAACCAATTCAGGAGGCATTCATATAAATGTACTGTTGAATCTCAATGATGCAAAACCGGCAGATGTACGAATTCATTAAATTCCCCAGCCAAGTTTCACTGTGTCCATTGGGCTAAAATTCAGATGTTCTGAGCATTTTTCCTCATCGTGGCGATTCATATGAACTTGAGATCCGAAACTGTGGAACGGAGGTCGAGAGTAGCGCACTCGAAGCTTTGGAAGGACACACGCGGCCAGCGCAGACACTGTCAGAACTGCGGTTATCGTTTGCCAGAACCGCTGTGGAAGAAACCGTGGTCGCTCTTGACACGGTCATGTGTGGTGAAGACGTCATAGAACTCCGAAAGTGCACGCGCCTTTAACGCTCCACCAGTTAAAGCGACGTTGCGTTCCACAGACGCTGTGAACAAAATCATGGCACATGCAATCGTAGCAAAAAGTGATATGGTTTTGAAGGTATGTGCTCAACCAGTGCACATGGATTGAAAATGGAATTAGCGGTTTCCGCAATCGCGGCATGTGAAACCGTGGTTGCGGACGCAGCTAACGCTGTGGTAGAGGCGATAAAGATGTGAAAAGCACTAAAAGCTTTTTGACGATTCTTTCCAAAGAATAAGTAACGTTTTTCCTGTCAATTTAGGTACTTTGGCTATACTAAGACGTAAAGTTTTCAGTGGACCTTAAGCGAAGCTTCAACCCGTGCTTTCTGGGCAACCGGCTGCGTCGTCCCCTTCATTCGCGTCTGTCCAAGGAAGACATGCGCGGGTTCTTTTGACAGAAGTAGATTTTCTAGTTGTTTTGATGTGGAAAACTTTGAGAGCTACGAGTAGTATGTTCGCTCCCTTTCACACATTTTACTGCAGTTGGGAAACCCTACCCTCAAGTGTTCAGCCACTCCAAGTCGGTATGAGACAGCGCAAGGCCAATGTTTACTGACCCCCCTTGCTCGCTACCATTTTTTTTTTGCCTTGTTTTTCTTTTGGTGCAAAAAAAAAAAACAAGGGGAAAAATAAATCACTGCAACACCCCCTCTACCCGTTGTGGAAATCTCGTGGAGATTCAAAATCCTTGAAGTTGGCAGGTATGGATCGGCATTGACTTGACCAACTCTCTATTTCCAAAACAGTAATTTGGCATCAGTTGGTATGCTTTCGTTTTCAAAAACTACACAGGGAATAAAGTTTAATGTGTTAAACCACGAACAAACGTAGTGGGGACTCTTAATGCTCTTCGGTGCTGGCTTCTTTTCTATTGTGTGAGTGGTGAAGCTAAAGTGAGCTAAAGTGCAGACTAGACATGCTTGTTATAGTTGCAGTATGCATGCACTATATAAGTGCAATAAAAATGAGTCAATTATGAAAAATTTCGAGTAAGCAATTCTCAACATTGTGGGCTGCTTTTAGTCCTAGAAAAACTTGTGAAAGGTCCTGGAAAGTCCTTGAATATTCTTAAGTTTTCACTTTAGAAATCTGTACAAACCCTACAGGACCTGGGAATCAGTTCAAATGAACTAAGCTCGAATGAACCGAGTTCGAATTAACAAGCTTTTACTGCAATCGAATAGCCTTGCGGCTTTGGCACTGGCCCGATAGATTTAATGTATAATTGCAATAAAGATTTCAGGCAACTTCATAACTCTGTTTTGTCAAACTGCATGATTGCAATGCTAATTTTTATTTTGGCCATCCAATGGGACAAAAAGAGTAATTTTGTTTACTATGCCAATGTTGTTTACAGGCCGATGGCTTTAAGGTGGGGTTGCAATTACTGCCACAAGGCTGCTACTTGTGGTTGCTTGTAACAAAAACTTTCAAAGCCTAGTCAAGTCAGTTAAGTACGTAGCTGTATTAAAACACAGAACAAACCAAGCTGCTAAGTTCCTGTGACCACACCTTCAAATGGCACCAACTCCATCATTGATGCCTGTGCCTATAATAGTTCTGATTAAGTGCAGGAAGTGCTGAATAGCAACTGCTGCAAAATAACCTGCATCATTCAGCTGTTGCAGTGCTGTCAAATTCTGTTGTTATACTAAGGAATGGAGATTTAGAAAAATGTTGGACTTTGGTTAATCCACCTGTAGGTCAAGGTGGGAACTTTTCAGTTCAAGCATCATGTATGGTTCAGTGTTGCGTGAAGTAATGCAAAAATGATGCAGTATCCTTGGAAGGATGGCTTGAGAATGCTGCGCCAGATTACATGGAAAGTGAATTTGTCAGAAGATATATACTGACATTTTCTGGACACTTGTGAAATGATACGTCTTTTATAATTATTAATAGAGTTTTTTGGCAGTCCCCACCAAGTTCTATTCACAGGTCTTGGGCTTATTTCATATCTTTAGTTGTATGCCTTGTTTTAGAAAGCAATTATTTAAAATAATGAATTTATTTGAGTGATGTCTCCTAACACCCTCTATAACGGCGAGGGCTTTGGATAAAGCTTATTGTTGATTCTGCTTTTCAGACAGAGGAACCGGCTGTAAATATATTTAATATGCCTCTGTTGCAGTGGGCCAACAGAACTACCAAGACGATGACTGCTTTGTTTGCTGCATTCTGACACACGGTGACCGTGATGTTCTTTACGCAACTGATGGAAAGTTCCCGGTGGACAGTGTGATGGACCCTTTCCGTGGCGACGTTTGCCCCACTTTGCTTGGTAAACCCAAGCTGTTCTTCATTCAGGTTAGCAGTATTTGGTTTTTGTATATAAATTCATTTGTTAAGCTTGGTTCAATTATTTAATTATTATGATCCTATTTGTAAGGCATCTGCAAGAAACATACTGTACTTGTGTGAAAAAAAAAAATGTATGTTTTGAATTTGCTTATTTTTTAAGAGGATTGAAGCAGTGCTCTAATAGCATGAATTGACAATGCCAAATGTAGCAATGAAAATTGCTACGTTTCGCTGTGACGCAACATTATGTTTTGGTAACTTTGCTCCGGTCAGGTGGGTATGTGCCATATGAATTAGGTAAGCACCACTGCTGAGTACAGCAGGTGCGAAGGTTAGACAGAAACCTCGCTCGAGGAAGTGGAGCACTTGAAACAAATCAAAAAGAGAGCAAGAAAAAGATGAAAAAGAAGGGTAGGAGAGCAAAAGAAAAAAAAGCGATGGATTGAAAGAAAAAAGGAGCTTGCACTAAGATGTGCTGAGCATAAAAATCAGATGGACAATTCTGAAGTCTAAGAAAACAGCCAATAACCAGCAGCCTAGTAACGATTGGTTGCAACCCAGCAGTGACTTGGAAATAACATGGAAAAGATTGTAGCTAAGAGCCTAGCAGTTACCTAGAAGGAACTTAGCATCACCTAGCTAAATCCTAACAAGAGTGTAGAAGCAAACTGGAAACAACTCCGCAACAGCTCTCTATAGCCTAACAATAACCTAGAGCCAACCTACAAATAACCCAGCTTCACCTTGCTAATGTCTAGCAGCAGGTTAGGCTTCAGAATCGTCTAGCTTTTTGGTTTCAAGTCTTGCGCAACTTAGTGCAAGCTTTGCCCACAACTTTTTTTCCCTGCAAGAATTTCTCTTTCATTCTATATACAATTGAATCTCGTTGAAACGAACTCAAATGGACCTCTGACATTTGTTTATCTTATCAGAAGTGCCATCATCTCGTATATCTCATTGACAGTGTAAACAAAATGCGAAGCGAGCTCAGCCTTATTTTAGTAAATGGAAGGTTTTCTAGTGCAAACAGTCCTAGCGAAGACAAGACTGTGCATGCTTGAGAACTCATGTAACATAAGAGTGTTCGCACTTACACGCCAACGATGACAGTGTTGAGTCTGACAGTGAAGGCTTCATCCTCGTACCTCGTTATCTGTGTTGTCCATTCCCTAGGTCTTGTGAAGTTGAATGGCGACTGAGGCTGTGGTCTCGGTGCACCGTGCGCACGACGTTGAGTTGTGAAGGCCCCGTGTCGGTACCGGTTGTCGCGTCCATAACTCCGCATTAGCCGTCCACTTCTGACGCCATGTTCAGGGATGCTGAGTAAGGACATGAGCACGGCTCGTAGCAACAAAAAGACCCATTATTCGGATCTGCCCCCCTGCTATAGACCTTTTTAGCAGAGCAGAGGATCCTCTCTTGTCTGGGCTGTTGCACAGGAGCACAAAAACCATTGTCACAGCCTTGGCACTGCATTTTTGGGGGGTCACGCATGGGAACAACAGCCCAGATAGGACTCTAGCGGCACCCAGGGAGCCTTCAGTAAAAATGTTTATAGACCAGAGCACACCTCTCTTGCACCCAGGTACCTAGGCTGCCGGTGTATACTCGCACCTAAATGGCCATCTTATTTTGAACTGCCTAGGCATGTATCTCTGGTGCCAAGTTAACATGGCAAGCAGCGTCTCTGGGACATTTAAGTACTAGAAAGCCCCTATTCACGCTGCTAATGCCTACAGTAAGTTGTTTGGCGCTACTGCGCCACCTTTTGATGCAAAAACAATCAGCGCAAGATCAGCAAAGTGTATGAGTAAGTATATTTATTACGTTTATTCAAGCACGGCTCCAGCTGTTCAGTTTCACAGCAGCGGTTCGTGTACAGTATGCGTGTAATATACGGTACCAAATTATTGCTGTGCTCTTTCGCAGGCCGCATGCCAATAACAGGATATATTACGACTCGTGTGAAGGCACGCACCACACACATTTAGCACAATTGTAACGGCAAACTATTGCATTGCAAAAAAACATCAATGGCGTGGAAAACGTGGCTTTCGACTCAATTGAACTGCGACGAGCCTTGACTGTCGCTAGGCAAATCTGGGGTTTGAGTTGGCGTCACGGTAGCACTGTAAAATCTTGTTCAGGCTAGCTTTTCACTCCGCGTGTGTGTTTTAGTGCCAGGCATGACTTGCAAATGGTAAATAGATGCGGTGCATGAGCGCAAGCCGGAGTGGGATTCTAGCACTACGTTGACGCTGATTACAGCAAAAATTCTGCCTTGACACAGCCAAGGCATGTCGCAGTTCGACTGAGTTGAACGCAATGTTTTCCACTGTTCGCATTTTTTTCTAGCGCGATAATACGTACCTGGTGAAGTTTCTTCCGAAGTCTGTAGTGCACATGCTGTGGACATTTCGAACGTTCGTGGAAGGTCTTCTCGATGCTTCAAACGTAAACAGCATAAAATTCCAAGAGAGGAAAAGTGTGAATCATGCTCACAGCCAAACTCGGGTTGTGAAGTTTTGAGTTTGATTTGCAGAGTATCTGCTCGCATGGCAGTGCAGAGTATTGGTTCACCACGCTTGCAACAGATGGTGTGACACACATGCTCAGTATGGCAGTACGCACTGAGCTCGCTGTGTTCTGGTGTATACATCTCATGTAAGCTGGTGCTTGCATGCCAACAGTGGCATCCACCACCAGCTAAACATAGCACTCAGCGTTCTCATGCTGTTCTGCATAAGCGAGAATTCGTCTAAACCAAATTCGTCTTAACACGTTCACTACAGCATGCTTTTTGCTGCTCTAGTTTCAAGTATGAAGCGATCCTCCAGTGTGGGCCATTGAGTATATTTCACAGGTGCGTTGTCATCTACCGGTGGGACATGTGGCTATGCTTCTATCTTTAGCTCCTACAAGATGGCGCTGCCGCTTCTGCAGCAGGCGTTCAGCGCATTTAATTGAAACATGCAAAGCTATTTTTTGCTTTCTTAGCTTGAATCTATGTTTGAATACGAAGTGCTTGCCACACGAAAACATATAAGGTTAGTTTCTGTGATATAAATATTTATTAGGTGGATAATAGTTAAAATTTAGTATTAGTATTAAGCAACAAAATGGAGCTGCCAAATTTGCAACTGGTATTTGGCTCCTTTGAGAGATGCAAACTGTTTTCTGCCTTTTCCACATAAACCTATTTTAAATAGAAAGTGCTTGCCCTGAAAACACATCTGAAGTCAATTTCTGTGATAAGTTGGTTTCTTTCCTTGGGGCTGCACTTTTTTTTTTTTCGCCCATAAAAGGCACGAGCCCCTGTTAGACGCGCTGAAACATTTTGGAGCACTTGAAAAAACACCTAAACTAAAGTGCAACGGCATGTATTTCAATAACTGCGGAAAAAGTTTGCAAGCAATATAATGAAGGAACGTGCTGCCACTCAGAAACAATTGCTCCACTTCGCATCGAATGCAATAGACAATACATATATTAGTTGCAATTCTGAACTTCACGTGGTAGCAGAAGATGGAGAGCTCTCTTTTGTGTGTCACAAGGGGTCACGCTGCACAAAGCACGAACACATATTTAGTGAGTGTGTCATGGGCCACCGCTGGGGCATAGCCTTTAATATCATGCAAGTATTCTCCTGGGCATATGTATCCCCTGCAACAAAAATCATACCTCTGTGTTCAAGTGTCGTAAAGTTATTGCAGCCGCAAGCAGATGAATGCATGTAAATTCGCAACCGCATACAAGGAGTACAAGGTGTGACTCGCCAGTGGCTCACGATACAGTGAACACGGTAAAAGGTGTGCCCTATATCTTTCTTTCATCCCACGTCGTACAATCGGTGCACATGATCTAGGAGTGAAGAAAAAGATGACGATGAGAGTATGTGCTGATTCAAGATTATGGTAATTTTCGATCAACGACACGTGGCAAATCTCGAGCATAACATCTCTTCTGTAAAAGCTGAATTGGCGAATACATCCCAAAAAAGCCATACAACAATGATAATCATTTTGAGCCCTTTCTCAGCAAGCTGAAAAATTCGTGAGCATAAGGTGTCACTGGAGGCAATGTTTTGACAAGCGGACTTGGTCTTCTTCTTCACGGATACTACTGTCTATCTTAGTGCTTCGTACAGTGGCGGTCACAATGTTATGGACCACGGGTGCGCGTGCCAAACAGCCCTGCGGCACATTTTGATAGCTGCCTGCAAAGCTCGAAAGCACGCACTGCATCTGCGTGCTCTTTTTTATCTGGCAGCTGGCTCATTCGCTCTCTTCAACAGCATGCGCATGGAAACGCCAGAAGCAGCGCAAGGTGGCACTCCTTTTGTCACCACGAAAACATCGAGCGATGATAATGTGACAAAAACATGTAATTTGCACTAGCAGAGCTCGGTGCGCGCCACATTCTGCACCTTAGTCTGAGACTCTCTGCTGCGCTGAAAACATGCATACGGCATCAGTTTTGCATGCATACGACGTCAGCAGCAATGCCTTTTGCCCTCTTTTGTGGTAAAGCAATGCGCTTATTGATACTCCTTACACATGTCATGGGCTCTTACACATCCACATATCGAGCCACTGTAGAATATACCCAGAGAAGTGAGCAAAAAAAAAAAAAAAAAAAAAAAGTCGTGGTTTATGTTTTCTCCGGAACTGAAAGAAATCCAGCGTGCATGTCCTCCATAAATTATAGCTGTTCAGAAACCTTTCACAAAGGTTCTTTTTGAAAAAAAAAAAAAAAAAACTGATGCCGTATGCATGTTTTCGGTGCGATGGAGTGTCTGGGACTAAGGCACAGAATGCGGTGCACACCGAGCATTGTCAGTACAAAATTAAGAGTTTTCATCATGATATCGTCACTCAGTGTTTCCGCGGCGACAACAGGAGTGACACCTTGCACTTCTTCTGGCATTATATGCGTGCACTGTTGAAGAGAGCGAACGATCAAGCTGGCAGGTAAAAAAGGTGTGCGTGTGCATTACACGCTCTCGA